TACCCAATCTAAGTTCTCTGACCCCCATATTCTTCGGCATAAGTTTCTATCAATAATCTCCATTTTCGTCTCTTGAATTGCTAAAAAAATCTAACCTTTCCTTCAAAACAATTTCTCTAATTTGCCTTCTTTTCCTGACCCCACCAAGTCCTCTAATATTAAAAAACAGAATTATCATTAAGGACTGAACATACCTTATTGCTACCGATTTCCCCTTGGTTTCCCGCGATCACTTTTCCTTGTCTATCTCTGTTCTCCATCTCTTCAATCCTCCGAATTATCTCCTCCTCATCCTCTGTCGTTGCCCCCAATTGCTTTGCAAGCTCCCATATTTCTTTCGCAAATCTGATCTGCATCTTCTTCTTTAGAGCCTTATTGCAATGATGGATCTCGGAATCACCTACAGAGTCTCCTGCAACTTTTTCGGTCGGGCTCGGCATAAAATCTGGCATTGAACTTCTCACCCTCGACAGTTCGTTCTGCTTACCCCTTCCTCGGCCTCGGCTTCTCCTTCTTTCACTATCCAATTCACGTGTATTTAAATAGATAGAGCTACAATTTCTTACCCGCTGCCCCTTCCTTTTGGTGCTTCCTTCGCTTAGCTTACTCATCCCTATGTGCATGCTTCCACTTTCACTCTCATATCCTTTCCAGGCCAGATCTGCATCTTCCCCGGTGTTATCCTCTGCAGTGTCTTTAACTCTGGAAAAATCCATACTACCCTTTGCTTTTGATTTAATTACCCCCAAGCTGGCTTGGGCCAAGCCCATATTAGAAGACTCCACACACTCTAAGCTTTCTTCCTGTCTCATGGGCTTCATGTATGCTGGATCATTCTTTTTAGAGCCCAAATCCGCCCCCTTCTCCTCTTCAGGGCTCGTTGATGATGACAGCTTCCCTTGATATTTGATCTCCGTCTCTGCCCCTCCATTTCCTCCCACTATTTTCAAATTTTGAATTTGTTCCAGGCTGTCTTCCACCAATTCTGCTGACGTCTGAAATTCCTGTCTTTTTTGGTATTGAGTCGTTCTCCCTTTTTCCCCAAGGCCTCTCACCACGTCATCTTCTTCTTCCTAGCAATCTTCGGCTTCATCCTGCAACTCTTCCCTTGCATTTTCGGATTTCTGCTCTTCCATTTCACTCTCAGTTGACCACATCTCCTGTTCCTCTGAATCACTTTGGAAAGAAGGCATAAAGTCTTGCTTCAATGAAAAGAAGCTATTAGTGAACTCTTCCTCACTGAATTTAATGCTGTAAATGATCCCATTAATCTTGATTTGCCTCAAGACTGAAATTGAGTTTGGAATCGGGGTGGATATTAAAAATCTAGCAATGTCAAATCTGTTCTTTTTGCTTGTACTATCATCCAAGCAAATGAATTTCCCCCACGAACTGCCCATTTTTTGGAAGAAATCAACTCCCCAGACGTTCAACGGTGCCCCTTGACATCTCACCCATACAAATCTCCCATTAGCAACCGTTTCAGGTGTCCAAGGGCGCACCTTTTCAAACCATTACCCTAGCCATTCTGTTGCCATCTCCACCATATCCTTAAGTTCCTCCTTGTCCTCACAATCCAACAAGACTAATCGTCCTCCCATCGCATATATTTTACAAGAAAAATACCCTTCCATGTAAAATTTCTCTTGTAAATTGCGGACCATTTCTACTGAGTGCACTGTGCCCACATAACACCCATTGAGCCATGAATATTCTTCAGGCTTGATATTATATTCCATCCCAACCCAGTCTTCTCTCCTTCCTTTCTCCTGCCATCTTTTCCTTGGCTCCCTATTATGAAGCCCGAATCTGATTCTACTATTACTTCTTTCCTGGATTGACTGATTTTGAGTGATATCTTCTTCAAACAATCTTTCCCTCTGATTTTCTTTCACCACCTCAGCATAACTTTTGTTTTGCTTTTGAGGCATCCTTTCTCGACTGATTTTTCCTTCCATGGCCTCATCATATTTATGAGCTTGCAACTGAGATGTCCCTTCACTGCTGATTCTTTTCTCCTTGCTTCTATTCTTTTCAACATCATATCTCGGACTATTAACCCATAACTTCATGCCATTAACCCAGATCTGATCTAGTTGCCGTTCTAACTCCTTTCTGTCCTTAACTTCCAGAAACCTCACAAACCCAAACCTGGTTCCATTCCTGCTTCTTCTGTTCGGACTGTAGATATCATACACCCTCCCATAATGTAAGAAAGTTCTCCACATATCCGCATAAGACCAAGACTCCGGGAAGTTGGTGAAGAAGTAGGGGGTGGCTTGATTATACAAACCCTCGTCATACGGTCTTTCTTTCTGATTCCCTCGACCCTGTTTTCTCTCAGATTGCCATTGTCCTCGTCTCTCCACCACTGACCTCTGTTGTTGGCCTCTTCTGCATGATCCTACCCGCTCCCAACTCAGTGTCGTCTCTGATGCCCGTGCCCGTCGTCCGCCGCGAACCCCTCTCACTCTCTCTCTTCCTCTCTCTCTCATGTCTTTCTTCTTTTTATCAAAGTACATTCAAATTTTCATTCACATTATCATTACGGAATAGTTTTTTTCTTCGTTTAATACATAAATATCAGGGAGATTAAATTCAAATTTTATTAGTATAGTAAAAATATAAATAACTCAATCATCACATCACATGATTAATAATCTTAATTGAGAATAGTTTCCTTTTGTTTTTAGCACTTCAATTCAAATAGTCCATGTTTGGAGGCTTTATCAGACTATTAACTTAAGTATGGCCGTAGAGATCTGTTTTCAGGCTTCCTCAAGTTATTTGACTGGGATTTGTACATCTTGTTGTAATTAGTCCAGGTTGGGTCCAGTAAGATTCAAGAGTAGTACATCCCCCACCGAACTTCTATTAATATTTTAATCAAAGTATTTATTTTCATAAACAAATTTTGGCCAGTTAATTAGACACATTAATTGGAAAATTAATACTCCTTCCGGTCCCATCCTTTTTTAATTTAAAATTTGTCACATATTAATTTTCGTTTCTCTTATTTAAATATAGATAAGATTTTTTGTTGGTTAAAATTATTATTATTTATTTACTTTAATTATTTATTACTCTCATTGTTCAATTTTAATAGACCTCATTTACTTTTTTGTTTAATCAACAGAGATATAACAATTTATCAATAAAACTTCATATTTATCCCTTTATCCCTAATTATATACTCCCTCTATCTCAAATTAATGGACTTTTTTGATTTAGAATTTGTCTTAAAATAATAATTGTTTTTTCATATTTTAAAAGAGATACATATATATTTTTTAATTTTATTTTATTATTATCTCTTGATTTTAATTATTCATCATTTCATAATTTAAGTCTCATTATTTTTATTTCTTTT